AGAATCTAACGAATCCTAAGCAGGAAAAATAAAAAAGAAACTCACTGCCTTATACATTAGTGAAATTGCAGAAAACCAAAGAGAAGGAGAAAATAGTAAAAGCAGTCAGAATAAAACAGACAAATTACCTTTAAAAGCCACAAGATTTAGAGGACCCACACTTCCCTATTTCAGAACTTACTATGGAGCTACAGTAATCAAGCTGGTGTGGTGTTGGCATAAGGGTAGACACACAGGTCAGTGGAACAGAATTCAGAGCCCAGGAAAAAATCCTTACATTTAATGGCCAATTGATTTTCAATACCGGTGTCAAAAATTCAATAGGGAAAAAACAGTTTTTACAGCAATCAGTTCTGGGACAACTGTATATCCACTTACAAATAAATAAAAGTGGACCCCTGCCTCATGTAATATACAAATATTAACTCAAAATAAAACAAAGACCTAAGTGTAAGAGCTAAAAATATAAAAATCTTACAAGAAAACATAGAAGTAAATCTTTGTGACCTCAGGTTAGGCAATGGCTTTCTAAACATTTTTTTTAAAGATTTTATTTATTTATTTGAGAGACAGAAATCACAAGTAGGCAGAGAGGCAGGCACAGAGAGAGGGGGAGGCAGGCTGCCCACCGAGCAGAGAACCCGATTCGGGGCTTGATCCCAGGACCCTGGAATCACGACCCGAGCGGAAGGCAGAGGCTTTAACCCACTGAGCCACCCAGGCGCCCCAGGCAATGGTTTTCTAGATTGGACATCAAAAGCATAAACAATTAAAGTAAAAATAGATGGGGGGGGGGGGCCCTGGGTGGCTCAGAGGGTTAAAGCCTCTGCCTTCAGCTCAGTCACGATCTCAGGGTCCTGGGATCTCGAGCCCCACATCAGGCTCTCTGCTCAGCAGGGAGCCTACTTCCCTTCCTCTGTCTGCCTGCCTCTCTGCCTACTTGTGATCTCTCTCTCTGTGTCAAATAAATAAATAAAATCTTTAAAAAAAAAAAAAAAGTAAAATTAGAGGGGCACCTGGGTGGCTCAGTGGGTTAAAGCTTCTGCTTTCGGCTCAGGTCATGATCCCAGGGTCCTGGGATCGAGGCCTGCATCAGGCTCTCTGCTCAGCGGGGAGCCTGTTTCCTCCCTCTCTATCTGCCTGCCTCTCTGCCTACTTGTGATCTCTGTCAAATAAAGAAATAAAATCTTAAAAAAAAAAAAGTAAAAATAGATTGATTAGACTGTATAAAAATTTAAAGCTTTTGTGCTTCAAAGGATACCATCAAGAAAGTGAAAAGAAAGGGCACCTGGATGGCTCAGTCAGTAGGGCATGCAACCCTTGATCTCAGGGTGGTAAGTTCAAGCCCCATGTTGAGGGTAGAGTTTATTATTTATGATAATCGACCATATACTAAGCCATAAAGCCAGTTTCAACAAGTCCAAAGGATTAAAATCATTTAGTGCTATTCTTTAGCCACAACACAATTATGCTAGAAATAAAAAACAAAAGGACAGCTAGAAACCCCAGATGTTTGGCAATAAAACAATATATTTCTAAATAATTCATAAATCAAAAAAATTTTTAAAATAATTCATGAATCAAAGAAGAAATCATAATAAAATTACAAAGTCTGAAATAAATAATTTAAAAACATTACATATCAAAAGTTGTGGGGTACAAGCTATTCTCTTGATGGAAATTTATAGCCTTATACAGTTAGATCAGAAAAGAAGAAAATATAAAAATTAATGAACTAAATATGCATCAAAAAGTAGAAAAGAACAGCAAATTAAACTTGAAATTAGAAATGGGGAAATAACAAAGATAATTGAAAGCATATATACACACAATAGAATGAAAATAAAACAAGTTGGTACTTTGAGAAGACTAATAAAACTGATAAACCTTTGGTGAAATGAAATAGAAAAGTGAGAGAGAGAGACAGACAGAAGGCTGGAATGAACCCTGTCAGGAATGAAAAACAGGGCATTACTATAGTCCCTGCAGATCCTCGGAAGAAACCAAGAGAATATTATGAACTTTAAGCTAAAGCATTGGAAAATTTTTATGGAATGGACAAATTCCCAAGGGGAAAAAGATAGTTTATAAAATACCCAAGAAGAAACAGGAATTCTGAATAGACCAATAACTCAAAAGAACTGAAACCCTAGTTTAAAAATTTTCCTACAGGGGCACCTGGGTGGCTCAGTTGGTTAAGCATCTGCCTTCGGCTCAGGTCATGACTCTGGGGTCCTGGTATGGAGTTCTCTATCAGTCTTCCTGCACAGTGGGGAGTCTCCTTCTCCCTCTGCACCTCCCCCCATTCATGCTTTTTTCTCTTGCTCTCTCTCAAAATAATAAATAAGTAACTCTTAAATAAATAAATAAATAAAGGTGGAAAAATATTTCCCTACAAACAGGTTCTAGGCCCACATGGCTTCATCAGCAACTTCTATCAAATATTTATGGAAGATATAAGTCAATATTGTACAAACTCTTTCAGAGAAAAGAAGTAATTAATTTTGAGCCTAGTACAAGTCATACACACACACACACATTTTAAAAATACATGTATTTTTAAAGTTTTCAAAGAAAGAGAAGATGGAGGACTTAGGAGGACCCTAAGCTCACCTTGTCCCACAGATACAACTAGATAACACATCAGTGTAAATAACCTGAAACTTTCTATATATTACTATGTTTTGACGTCCTAGAAAAACCCTTTCCTGGCTTGGGAGAGACAATTCTTAAGAGATGGCAAAGGGCCCAGCTGGGAGCGTCATCCAGGGCTGTCTCTCCTCTGTCTGGCCCCTGCAACCCAGGAGGCAATACTCCCCTGCCTTAATCATCCCAGGGCCAGGTGCCAGGCAACTAGGCACCAACCCTGGAGCCCAAAGCTGGCCAAAATTACTCAACTAGCCAGTCCTACACCCTTCCCTGACTTTTCCCTAGAAACCCTTGTAAAGGCCTAAATATTCCCACATCCCACTGTTTTCTGCCTTCTGACCACCCTGGTGTCTTTCCAATGTGGCCCTGTAAAATTTATTTTTTTCTTTTAAGATTTTAGTTATATATTTGTCAGAGAGAGATACAGTGAGAGAGGGAACCCAAGCGGTGGGAGTGGATGAGGAAGAAGCAGGCTCCCCGCTGGGCAGGGGGCCCAATGTGGGGCTCCATCCCAGGACCCTGGGATCATGACCAGAGCCAAAGGCAGACACTCAATGACTAAGCCACCCACGCATCCCCCAATTTTTTTTTTTATTTAGCAAAAGGTGGATTTGTGTCTCCTGTCTCTAAGACCTGTGCATTTTGGGGGGTTCCCCCACTGCTCTTTTCTGTCTCCTCTGTGGCTGCACCTGACCGACCACCTCATATAAACCATAAACACAAAATATGTACTTTTTATTTATTTATTTTTAAAGATTTTATTTATTTGACAGAGATCACAAGTAGACAGAGAGGCAGGCAGAGAGAGGAAGGGAAGCAGGCTCCCTGCTGAGCAGAGCGCCCGATGAGGGGCTCAATCCTAGGACCCTGGGATGATGACCTGAGCCAAAGGCAGAGGCTTTAACCCACTGAGCCACCCAGGTGCCCCAAATATGTACTTTTAAAAAAGATTTTCTTTATTTATTTGAGAGAGAGAGGGCATGAGAGAGGGGAGGGTCAGAGGGAGAAGCCGACTTCCCGCTGAGCAGGGAGCCCGATGCGGGGCTCGATCCCAGGACTCCATGATCATGACCCTAGCTGAAGGCAGATGCTTAACTGACTGAGCCACCCAGGTGCCCCAAAATATGTAATCTTGATACCAAAACCTGATACACTATGGAAGAAGAAAAATTACAGGTAAATCTCATTCATGAAAAATGACACAAAAATTCTAAAGGCAATATTAGGAAGCTGAATTCAGCAATATGTAAAAAAGAATGCCACACCATGTTCAAGTTGTGTTTATTATAATTTTAGTAATGCAAGCTAAGTTTAATTTTAAAAATATCAATGAATGGGGCGCCTGGGTGGCTCAGTGGGTTAAGCTGCTGCCTTCGGCTCCGGAGGAAAAATATTTAATAAAAAAATTGACATATATTAATGATACAAAACTCTTAGCGAGGGCACCTGGCTGTCTCAGTTGTTAAAGCATGTGACTCTTTATCTCAGGGTCGCGAGTTCAAGCCCTATGTTGGGGTACAGATTACTTTAAAAAAATAAACAAAACTCTTAGTGAACTAGGACTGAAAGGGGACTTTCTTAATATGACAAAGGATACTACAAAGCACCAGTAGCAAACATCATGTTAATGGTGAAATGTTGAAAGCTTTTCCTTTGAGGTCAGTGATTTATTATGGTATATATAGCAAGTTACCTCAACACTTCATGGACTAAAACAACAAATATATATTATCTCATGGATTCTGTGCTTTAGGAATTTGGAAGTGACTTAACTGAGTGGCTCTGGCTCAGGGTCTCTCTTAAGTTGCAGTCAAGAAGTGAGCTGGGGCTATAGCCATTTGAAGACTTGACTGGGGTCAGAGGACCCCTTTGAGGCCACTCACATGACTGTTAGCAGGAGGCCACAGTTCTTTACTTGTTGGCTGGAGTCCTCAGTTTCTCACCATAGACCTCTTCTCACAAGATGGGAAGTGGCTTCCCCTAGAACTAGTTTCCATGAGAGAGAGGCAAATGTCCCCATGTCTTTTATGTCCTAGTCTCACAAGTGACATACCCTTACTTCTACCATGCTCAAATGGTCACACAAATAATACGAGGGGGGACTACATGAGGGTATGAAGACTAGTAGAAGGTATTGACATTGAGGGCCATCTGGAAGGCTGGCTACCACATAAGATCAGAATGCCCTCTATCTCCACTTCCCATCAACATTACTTAGAGGTCTATCCAGAGTAGTAAAAAAGAAAAAGAAGAACAAAAGAAAGAAAGAAAGAAAAAGAAGTAAAAGGCAAAATGACTGGGGTACCTGGTTGGCTCAGTCAGTACTGCATGCAACTTTTGATCTCAGGGTCATGAGTTTAAGCCCCATATTGGGCATGGAGCCTACGTTAAAAAAAAAAAAAAGCAGGGGCAAAAGGATTAGAATGAAGGCATAAAAATATTGATATTTACAGAGAATGACTATGTGTGTAGAATATCCCAACAACTCCACATCTTTCCCTCTCATAGCCAACCCCAGGGTGCCGAAGTAACAGCTCTCACCTTGCAGTTCTTCACAAGCCAATTCTACTGACAGCACGTTCCACTGAGGGGGAGATAAAGGTCCTCAGGGGATGGGCAAGGTTTCTCTGAAAAAAAATGGAAGCTATGTCAAAAAGACAAGAAACGGTAAGTCTTCAGATTTAAAAAAAAAAAAAAAAGACTTTTTTTTAAGATTTTACTTATGTAAAATCTGTGATCTGTCAAAAAAAATCTTAAAAAAAAAAGATTTTATTTATTTATTTTATAGAGATCACAAGTAGGCAGAGAGGCAGGCAGAGAGAGAGAGAGGGGGAAGCAGGCTCCCCGTTGAGCAGAGAGCCCGATGTGGGGCTCGATCCCAGGACCATGAGATCATGACCTGAGCCGAAGACAGAGGCTTAATTCACTGAGCCACCCAGGTGCCCCGAGAATTTTTTTAAAAAATATTTTTATTTATTTATTTGACAGAGATCACAAGTAGGCAGAGAGGCAGGCAGAGAGAGAGAGAGGAGGAAGTAGGCTCCCCGCTGAGCAGAGAGCCCGATGTGGGGCTCGATCCCAGGACCCTGGGATCATGACCTGAGCTGAAGGCAGAAGCTTTAACTCACTGAGCCACCCAGGCGCCCCCCCTTTTTTCTTTTAAGATTTTATTTACTGGGCGCCTGGGTGGCTCAGCTGGTTAAAAACAACTGCCTTCAGCTCAGGTCATGATCCTGGAGTCCTAGGATCGAGTCCCGCATCGGGCTCCATGCTTGGCAGGAAGTCTGCTTCTCCCTCTGACTATCTCCCCTCTCATGCTCTCTTTGTCTCACTATCTCTCTCAAGTAAATAAATAAAATCTTAAAAAAAAAAAAAAGATCTTATTTATTTGACAGAGAGAGACCTAGCAAGAGAGGGAACACAAGCAGGGGGAATGGGAGGAGATGCAGGCTTCCTGCAGAGCGGGGAGCCTGATGCAGGGCTTGATCCCAGGACCCTGGGATCATGACCTGAGCCGAAGGCAGTCGCTTAACAACTGAGCCACCCAGGTGCCCCCAAAGAGAGAATCTTAAGCAGTGCAGCGCAGCATGCAGAGCAATGTGGGGCTTGATATCATGACCTGAGCCAAAATCAAGAGTTGGATGCATAACTACTGGGTATTTACTCCAAAGATACAAATGTAGTGATCTGAAGGGGCATGACCCCTCCAACCCTTGACCCCAATGTTTATAGCAGCAATGTCCACAATAGCCAAACTATGGAAAGAGCCTAGATGTCCATCAACAGATGAATGGATAAATAAGATGTAGTGTGTGTACACACACACACACACACACACACACACACACACACACACACAATGGAATATTATGCAGCCATCAAAAAGTGAAAACTTGCCATTTGCAATGACACGGATGGAACTAGAGGCTATTATGCTGAGCGAAATAAGTCAATTGGAGAAAGACAATTATCATATGATCTCCATGATATGAGGAATTTGAGAAACAAGACAAAGGATCATAAGGGAAGGGAGGGGAAAATGAAATAAGACAAGACCAGAGAGGGAGACAAACCATAAGAGACTCAATCTCAGGAAACAAACTGAGGTTTGCTGGAGTGGAGGAGGTTGGAAGGAATGGGGTGGCTGGGTGATAGACACTGGGGAGGGTATGTGTTGTGGTGAGCACTGTGAATCATGTAAGACTGATGAATCACAGACCTGTATCCCTGAAACAAATAACATATTATATGTTTAAAAAAAGAGAAAAAAAAAGGAGCTGGATACTTAACTGACTGAGCCACCCAGGTACCCTTTAGCCACTGAATTTACAGGAATTTGTTACAGCAGCCATAACAAATGAATACAGATAGAGTTAGTCTAAATTTTTTAAAAATTTTATTTATTTAACAGAGAGAGACAAAGAGAGTGTGAGAGCGAGCGAGCACAAGCAGGGGGAGTAGCAGAGGGAGAAGGAGAACCAGGCTCTCCACTGAGCAGGGAGCCTGATGTGGGGCTCAATCCCAGGACCCTGGGACCATGACCTGAGCCGAAGGCAGATGCCCAACCAACTAATAAGCCACCCAGGTGCCCCTTAGTCTAAATTAAAAAAAAAATATTTCTAAATTTATTTTAGAGGGACAGCACAGTGGGGAGGGGTAAGGGAAGAGGGAGAGAGTCGTAAGCAGACTCCACACTGAGCGTGGAGCCCAATGTGGGTCTTTATCTTACAACCCAGAGATCACAACCTGAGCTAAAACCAAGAGTCTGACCCGTAAACAACTGTGTCACCCAAGTGCCCCTCTAAATTTTTATTTAAATTTAATATTATACACACCATCTACTCAATAAAAATTTCCAGGCTTTCACAGCACTTTACCAAAGGTATTAGGAGAAACTAAACTACCACTGTCAAAGATATGAAGGATAGCAAATCATTCTGCGAAGGAGACCCAAGACCAGAGTATACCTGTGTTTAAGAGACAAATTCTAGGGGCAAACAGCAGGACTGGTTCCTTCTGGAGGCTCCAGGGAAGAATCTTTTGCTTGTTTCTTTCAATTTCTGGTTGCTGTTCACATCACTCCAAACTCAGCTTTGACAGTCAAATGCCTTTTCCCCTTTTGATGTCATATCTCACCCTGCCTCTTTTTTTTTTTTTTAGTGTTTTAAAAGATTTTATTTATTTATTTGATTGAAAGTGTGAGGGAGCACAAACAGGGGGAGCAGCGGGCAGAGAGAGAGGGAAAAGCAGACTCCCTGCTAGTGCTGGATCCCAGGACACTGAGATTATGACCTGAGCTGAAGGTAGATGCTTAACTGAGCCACCCAGATGCCCCACCCTGTCTCCTTCTTATGAGGACCTTTGTGATTTACATTCAGGGACTGTTCAGATAATCCAAAATAATCTCCCCATCTAAAAGTCCATACTTTTAATCACATTCTGCAAAGTCCCTTTTGCCATGTAAAGGTAACACTCACAGATTCCAGAAATTAGGACCTGGATATCTTTGGGGGCCATTCATCAGCTTACCACAGTACAAATATAGTACAATGTGAGTCACAAATACAAGTCACATTTATAATTCCAAATACCTTAGTAGTCATATTTTAAAAAGTCAAACATGGGGGGGGGTGCCTGGATGACTCAGCGGGTTAGGCCTCTGCCTTCGGCTCGGGTCATGATCTCAGGGTCCTGGGATAGAGCCCCACATTGGGCTCTCTGTTCAGCGGGGTGCCTGCTTCCCCCTCTCTCTGCCTACTTGTGATCTCTCTCTCTGTCAGATAAATAAATAAAATCTTAAAAGAAAAAGTCAAACATGGAATACTATCAAGCCATCAAAAACATTCATATTTTTGCAATGACATGGATGGAACTAGAGGGTAATTACAGTAAGCAAAATAAGTCAACCAAAGAAATACAATTATATGATCTCATTCATATGTGGAATTCAAGAAACAAAAGGGGATCATAGGAGAAGGGAAGGAAAAATAAAACAAGACAAAATCAGAGAAGGAGTGAAGCCATGAGAGACTCCTAATCATAGGAAACAAACTGAGGGTTGTTGGAGAGAAGGGGGGCTGAGGGATGGAGTAACTGGGTGATAGACATTAAGGAGAGCACATGATATAATTAGCACTGAGTGTTATATAAGATTGATGAATCACTGAACTCTACCTCTGAAGCCAATAACACATTATATGTTAATTAACAATTTAAATTTTTAAAAATAGAAAAATATTTAAAAAGTCAAACCCAAAGAATACAAAAACACTAATTCAAAAAGATATATGCACTCCTATGTTTACTCAACATTATTTATAATAACCAAATTATGAAAGTACCCCAAATGTCCATCAATAGATGAATGAGGGCTGCCTGGGTGGCTCAGTCAGTTAAGCCTGGGCCTTCAGCTCAGGTATGATCCCAGGGTCCTGGGATCAAGCCCTCCATCAGGCTCCCTGCTCAATGGGGAGCCTGCTTCTCCTTTTCTCTCTCCCTCTGCCTCTCCCTCTGCTTGTGCTTGCAGGCAGTCTCTCTCTCTCTAATAAATAAAATCTTAAAAAAAAGACTATTCTATAAAAAATAGATGAATGAATGTAAATGTATATGCACAGGTATGCACACGCAAACACACACGGGAATATTACTCAGCCATAAAAAAAGAATGGAATCTTGCCATATGCAACAACATGGATGTGTCTACAGAGTATAAAGCTAAGTGAAATAAATCAGAATCAGACAAATACCATGCAATTTCATTCATGTGGAATTTAGGAAACAAAACAAATGAACAAAGAAAAAAAAAGACAAACTAAAACTATACTCTTTCTTTAAAAATTTTTATTATGGGGGGGTGCAGAAGGAGAGAGAGTATCTTAAGCAGGCTCCACACTCAGCACAGAGCCCGACAAAGGGCTCCATCTCATAACCCTGAGATCATGACCTGAGCCAAAATCAAGAGCCAGACACCGAACTGACTAAGCCACCCAGGCATCCCCCAAAAAACCAACTGCTAACTATAGAGGATAAACTGATGGTTACCAAAGGGGAAGTGCATGGGAATGGATAAAATAGTATACTTATCATGATGAGCACGGAATCATATCGAGAATTGTTGAATCACTATATTGTACACCTGAAACTAATATAACACTTACATTAACTATCCTGGAATTAAAAAAAAAAATCAAATGAGACAGATGAGAATAATTTCAATAATCTACTTCATTTAAGACAATATACCCCAAATATCATTTCAACATGTAATCAATACAAAAATTATTAACAAGATATCTGAGATACATTGCGTTCTTTTTTTTCATGCAGAGTCTTTGCAATCTGGTGTTCCTTACACTTACAGGACTACGACAGTTGAAACCAGCCACATCTCAAGTACTCAATACCCACAGTGACTGGTGGCTACTTCATTGGACAGCATGGCCAGCTACTAAACTGGAAAGTCACGGAATAACCATTCAGAAAAAGATTACAACAATGTGGACTTTCAGTTTTTCACACTTACATAAAATACTTTGTACAGACTATTCTTAACGTTTGATACTGATCATTAAACAAGAGCCAAGACACTCTTTTTTTTTTTTCCAAGACACTCTTGAAAAAGAACTATGGGGGAGGACTGCCTTATAGATACCAAAATTTGTTACAAAGCTACAGACTGGGAGCGCCTGGGTGGCTCAGTTGGTTAAGTGTCTGGCTTCGGTTCAGGTCATGATCTCAGTGTTCTGATGTTGAGTCCTGAATGGGACTCTGCACTCAGTGGGAAGTCTGCTTCTCCCTCTCCCTCTGCCCCTTCCCCTGCTTATGCTCTCTCTCTCTCTCTCAAATAAAGTCTTTTTTTTTTTTTTTAAGATTTTGTTTATTTATTAGAGAGAGAGAGAGACTGTGAGCATAAGCAGGGGGAGCAGCAAAGGGAGAGGGAGAACCAGGCTCTCTGCTGAGGAGAGAGCCAGATGTGGGGCTTGATCCTAGGACCCTGGGATCATGACCTGAGCCCAAGGCAGATGCTCAACCCACTGAGCCACCCAGGCAGCCCTAAATAAATAAAGACTTAAAAAAAAGAAAAGCGGGGCGCCTGGGTGGCTCAGTGGGTTAAAGCCTCTGCCTTCGGCTCAGGTCATGATCCCAGGGTCCTGGGATCGAGCCCCACATCGGGCTCTCTGCTCGGCAGGGAGCCTGCTTCCTCCTCTCTCTCTCTGCCTGCCTCTCTGCCTACTTGTGATCTCTGTCTGTCAAATAAATAAAAATAAAATCTTTAAAAAAAAAAAAAAGAAAAAAAAAAAAGAAAAGCTACAGACTGTGGGGAAACCTGGGGTGGCTCAGTCAGTTAAGCATCCAACCCTTGATCTCAGCGCAGATTTTGATCTAAGAGTGGTGAGTTCAAGTCCTGAATTGGGCTCTACGCTGGGCACAGAGCCTACTTAAGGACTGAGCCACCCAGGTGCCCCGGAGCCTACTTAAAAACAAGAAAGAAAAAATGGAAAAAGCACTAAACATAATGACAATTACATTCAATTTAAAAACATTTTATCACCAAAGACACTGTTAAGAGAGTGAAGAAGCAAAATATTTCCAATATATTACCTGTCAAAGAGTTCGTATCTGGAAGAACTACAAATCAATATGGAAAAGTCTAACAGAAAAAATATGCAAGAGACTTGAGAAGACATCTCACAGAGGATATCCAAATGGCCAATCAACACATAAAAAGTGTTTAACCTCATTTATAGATATGGAAATGCAAATTAAACCCAATACAAACAAACTCACCAGAATAGCTAAATACACAACCTTAAGAGTTGGTAAGAATGTGTAACAGGAACTCTCAAACCCTGCGGATAGGAATAAAAATTAGTATAACCACTTTGGCATTATCTAGTTAGGCTGAGGAGACTCTGACACAGTCATCCAACTCCTAGCTCCCCTGTACACCCAAGAGAAATGCACACATTTTTTTTAATTTTAGCATATTTGAAACAGCCTAAAATTGTAAACAAGCCAAATATCCATCAACAATAATACAGATAATTGTGGTATATTTCTAAAACGGAATTCTATGAAAATTAATGAACTATGGTATATGGAAAAATGTGAATGCAAGCTTAAAAAGCCAGACATACCAAAAATATGATCTAATTCCATTCTTATTTTTTTTAAGTTTTTTTTTTTTTTTTTTTTTTTTTTTAATTGACAAAGAGAGAGCACAAGCAGGCAGAGAGCCAGGCAGAGAGAGGCGGAAGCAGGCTCCCTGCTAAGCAGAGAGCCCAACACGGGGCTTGTTCCCAGGACCCTGAGATCATGACCTGAGCCGAAGGCAGAGGCTTAACCCACTGAGCAACCCAGGCGCCCCTCCATTCTTTTTTTTTTTTTTTTTAAGATTTTATTTATTTGACAGAGAGAGAGCACAAGTAGGCAGAGTGGCAGGAAGAGGGAGGAGAAGAAGCAGGCTCCTCACTGAGCAGGCAGCCAGATGTGGAGCTGGATCCCAGGAGGCTGGGATCATGACATGAGCTGAAGGCAGACACTTAATTGAGTGAGCCACCCAGGCGCCCCTCTAATTCCATTCTTATGAAGTCCCAAAATGGGTAAAATTAAGTGACTGTGCATTCTTCCTAACAGCAAAAATGTGGAAACATTCCGAACATCTATCAACAGATGAATGGATAAAGAAAATGTGGCATATCCATACAACAGAATATTATTCAGCCATAAAAAGAAATGAAGCTCTGCTACATGCTTTAACATGGATGAACCTTGAAAACATTATGTTAAAAGAAATAAGCAAGACACAGAAGTACTTCCAATTTTTAAAAAAGATTTTATTTATTTATTTGACACAGAGAGAGATCACAAGTAGGCAGAGAGGCAGGCAGAGAGAGAGAGGGAAGCAGGCTCCCCACTGAGGAGAGAGCCCGATGCAGGATTCGATCCCAGGACCCCGAGATCATGACCTGAACCAAAGGCAGAGGCTTAACCCACTGAGCCACCAGGCACCCCAGAAATAATTCCATTATTGAAGTACTTGCGTGAGGTTACTAAAATAAGCAAAGTCATAGAGACAGAAAGAGGATGAGAAGTTACTAGGGGCAGGGAGGAGGTGGCCAATAAAGCTTAAAAAAAAAAACAACAACAACAAAAACCTAAATGATTGCTACATTTGTGGTGAGCACAGCACAAGGTATAAACTTGTCAAATCACTGTGCCATACACCTGAAACTATGCAACAGTGTGTGTCAACTCTATTAAAAAATATTTTTTTGGGGGGCACCTGGGTGGCTCGGTGGGTTAAAGCCTCTTCCTTCAGCTCAGGTCATGATCCCAGGGTCCTGGGATCGAGTCCCGCATCGGGCTCTCTGCTTAGCAGGAAGCCTGCTTCCTCCTCCCTCTCTGCCTGCTTGTGATCTCTATCAAATAAATAAATAAAATCTTTAAAAAAAAAAATTCTCTCTCTCCCTTTCCCCCTCCACTCTTACAAAAAAAAAAAAAAAAAAATTTTTTTTAAATGCCAAATGTTTGTTAAAAAACAAAAACCCAAACCAAAAAAACCCAAAAGGGTGCCTGGGTGGCTCAGTCCGTTAAGTGTCTGCCTTCAGCTCAAGTAATGATCCCAGGGTCCTGGGATCTAGCCCTGTGTAGTGCTCCCAGCTCAGTGCAGAGTCTGCTTCTCCCTCTCCCTCTGCCTGCCACTCCCCCTGCTTGTACTCTCTCTGTGAAATAAATAAATAAAATCTTTAAAAAAAAAAAAAACAACAACCAAAAAACCCTAAATCACTGTTTTTAGGATTCATATTTAGGTGGCAAAAATATAAAGAAAAAGCAAGGGGTGCCTGGGTGGCTCGGTGGGTTAAGTCTCTGCCTTCGGGTCAGGTCATGATCTCGGGGTCCTGGAACTGAGCCCCACATCGGGCTCTCTGATAAGCGGGGAGCCTGCTTCCCCCTCTCTCTCTGCCTGACTCTCTGCCTACTTGTGATTGATCTCTCTCTCTCTGTCAGGTAGATAAATAAAATCTTAGGAAGGAAGGAAGGAAGGAAGGAAGGAAGGAAGGAAGGAGAAAGCAAGTAAATGATTACAATAAATATGATGACAGGAGAGTCGTTCTTTTACAGGGGTGAGGAGCTTGAACAGAAAACAGAACTCTGGAGGGCTTTTGGGTGCTGGCAGTGTCCATGTCCTTAACCTAGGTGGTTGCTGCAAGGAGTTTCACTTTATAATCACCCATTGAACTGCACATTTATTTTCAGTACAATTTTTAAATGTGTGTTATTTTACACAATGCTTTTTTTTAAATTTAAAATTCAGCAAGAACAAGGTATTAGGGGATTGGAAGATGGCTTGTTTAGTAGGCAAGAGATGTCTTGCCACAGAGGTACAGAGCTTACCTGTTTTACAGAGAGGGGAACAGAGTTCCATTCAGAAAACAGCATGCCAAAGGCCCCCCAAGTACAAAAGAACATGGTGAACCTGAGGAACTGAAAGGTAAGCAGCCGAGTTCTGAGGGGGCCTTCAGAATAAGAGGGAAGAGGTACATGTGATTAAGTCTGAGGACTGCAGAGGCCAGATGGTGGAAGGTTGGACAGCCAAATGGTGGTGTGTCAGACACTGTTGTAAGGGAACAGTGGGATATCACTGAGATACATATACATGTATTTTAGAGAGTGAGAGAAACGGGGAAGGGGTAGAGGGAGAGGGAGAGAATCTGAAGCAGGCTCCATGCCCAGTGTGTAGCCCTATGCAGATCTTGATCCCAGGACTCTGAGATCAGGACCTGAGCTGATACCTAGAGTGAACACTTAACCGACTAAGGCACTCAGGAGCCCTATCACAGAGATATTTTAAAGCAGTGAAGTGACCTGATCACACCAGTTAGCAGGTCATTCTGTGGAGAATGCACTGGATAGCACCAGGAGACCATTTAGGAAGCCACTTTAATAATCGTGAGGGTTGGGGCGACTGGGTGGCTCAGTGGGTTCAGCCTCTGCCTTTGGCTTAGGTCATGATCTCAGGGTCCTGGGATTGAGCCCTGCATCAGGGCTCTCTGCTCAGGAGGAGCCTGCTTCCCCCTCTCTGCCTGCCTCTCTGCCTACTTGTGATCTCTCTGTCAAATAAATAAATAAAATCTTTAAGAAAAAATAATCGTGACAGTTGGTGGAAGCTTAGTGAAGGCACTGGAGAGGTGAGGAATACAATGTCCTTGGGCCTTGTGTTCATTTCACAACTCTGTTTAACTGTATGTAGCACTATCTCCCCATTTTTTTATGAAGTTAAAAATATCGGGGCGCCTGGGTAGCTCAGTGGGCCACCCCATCGGGGCTCTCTGCTCAGCAGGGAGCCTGCTTCCCTTCCTCTCTGCCTGCCTCTCTGCCTACTGTGATCTCTGTCAAATAAATAAACAAAATCTTAAAAAAAGAATCTTAATGTTATACTGTATATCCTATGACATACTGTACCCTACCATATAAACTTGTATATACATTTTAGGTACAGAGTTATGAACACAAGACTACGGCCACTGTATTTTCTGAGTGGTTTACCGGATTTTCAAAGGTTATGTTGACTATGTAACTTTTGTCTTAAGTACTGTCTTCAGAACCTAACCGTGGTGTAAGGGACAACTCCACTGTTGATGGATTTAAGAGGTATTTAGTAGATTTGGTGACTGACTGGAATAGAAGGAAGGAGGAAATTGAAGAATGATATTCCCAGATCTCTTGCCTAAACAACTGGGGCCCACTGGGGCAGAAACAGTTGGAGGGTAGAGATGATCACTTATTTTTCTCAATATTTTATGAAAAATTTCAAAAATGCAGAGAAGTTATCAGATTGTAGTGAACATCCATATACCTACTGCCTAGGTTCTACAACTCACTCACTGTTCTAACTTCTTTCTCATATCTTCCCACATACCCAGAGGAGTTCTAAGCTGAAATCTGTTGTACCTAAGAGATTTCCAAGTGTCATATCTAGTAAGCTACTGGTCTATAGAACAGAAGTACATTTATTTTTTATTTTTTTTTAAAGATTTTATTTATTTATTTGTCAGAGACAGAGGGAGAGAGAGTGAGCGAACACAGGCAGAGAGGCAGGCAGAGGCAGAGAGAGAAGCAGGTTCCCTGCTGAGCAAGGAGCCCGATGTGGGACTCAATCCCAGGACCCTGGGATCATGACCTGAGCGGAAGGCAGCCGCTTAACCAACTGAGACACCCAGGCATCCCCTGAACAGAAGTACATTTAAAGAGCAAGCTGCACATGTGGCCTCCTCTTCCTCACCTCCCATTCATACTCAATTCCCTAGAATCGGGCTTTTAAAAAAAAGTTTATTTTTAAATAATCTCTACACCTAACAACCCTGAGATCAAGAGTCACATGCTCTTCCAACTGAGCCAGCCAGGTGCCCCTAGAATGTGGCTCTTTTTTTTTTTTTTTTTTTAAGATTTTATTTGTTTATTTATTTGAGAGAGAGCGAGCGAGCTCAAGTCGGGGAGAAGGGGAGAGGGGTGGAGGGCAAAGGGAGATTGAGAGGGACAAGCAAACTCCCCGCTGAGCAGGAAGCCTAACAATGGGGCTTGATCCCAGGACCTGAAATCATGGCCCGAGTCAAAGTTAGATGCCCAACTGGCTGAGCCACCCAGGTACCCCTAGAATGTGTTTTGTTTTGTTTTTAAGATTTTATTTATTTATTTGACAGAGAGGGAGAAAGCACCAACAGGGGGAGGGGCAAAGGGAGAAGCAGGCTCTCTCCTGAGCAGAGAGCCCAATACGGGGCTTGATCCTAGGACGCTGATATCATGACCTGAGCTGAAGGCAGACGCTTAACCGACTGAGCCTCCCAGGCACCCCTAGAATGTGGTTTTAACATCTTCCTTCTGAAGGTGCTTTTAAAAAAAAATTTTTTTTTAAGATTTTATTTATTTATTTGACAGACAGAGATCACAAGCAGGCAGAAAGGCAGGCAGGGGGTGGGGGAGAAGTAAGTCCCTGCTGAGCAGAGAGCCCAATGAAGGGCTCGATCCCAGGAGCCTGAGATCATGACCCGAGCCGAAGGCAGAGGCTCAACCCACTGGGCCACCCAGGCGCCCCCTGAAGGTGTTTTCACTAAGACACTGATTACTTTAGACTCCAAAACTGAACTCGTTATCATCCTCCTGTAAAACCTGTTCCTCCTTCTGTACCTTCTACATTACAGGTACCCAATCCTCAAGTTTGGGAGTCATTTTAAGATATCTCCGGCAGCAAGCAGGGTTTGTCAGTCCCATCTCTTAAATATCTTTTTTTTTTTTTTTAAGATTTTATTTATTTATTTGACAGAGAGAAAGAGAGAGAGAACAAGCAGGTGGAGTAGCAGGCAGAAAGAGAGGGAGAAGCAGGCTCCCTGCTGAGCAAGAAGCTGGATGCGGGACTTCATCCCAGGACCCTGGGGGATCATAACCTAAGCCAAAGGCAGTCACTTAAGCAACTGAGCTACCCTGGTGCCCCTCTTAAATATCTTTAAAAGATATCCTCTCCGTCTTCATTCCCTGTACCATTAAAGTTCTGGATCTCAAAATTTTATTGCTATCAAAGAACTACAATTTCAACCTCTGAACTGGTCCCCATCTCTATTCTTTCTCTGGCATATCTAGTCATGTCTAGCATATCTAGATATCTAGTCATGTCTGGCATATCTAGATATGTCTATCCAACTAATTTAGTTTTTTTTAAAAGTCTGTTCACTGGGGCACCTGCGTGGCTCATTTAGTTGACCAGCCAACTCTCCATCTCAGCTCAGATCTCGATCTCAGGGTTGTAAGTTCAACCCTTGCACTGGGCTCTAAGCTGGGTGTGGAGCCTATTTAAAATAAAATAAAAAAGTCTGTAACGTCACTTTTCATTTACAATCTTTTTTTCAAATTTAAATTCAATTAGCCAACTTATAATACATCATTAATTTTATTAACAATCTTTTACAGGTGCTTATACCCAGGTTGCGCGACTTCCATAGCTTCAAGATCTGCCAGAAAGCATGACTAAGCCTAAATTTACCACCTCACGCCTAGTTACTCACCCACACCATTTTTACTACTTATTAGCACTTCAAATATACCAACCACACTTTTTGAAACTTATTGCCTCCTCCACAAAGACTTCCCTGAAAGCTAGGCTAGGTGGCTCCCACAGAATCCTAAGAATTTATCTATCATTAGACATACAAGTCTCCACAGATATAAAAATCTTTGGGGTCGGTGCTTTAGTCTTCTTTATGGCCAGAATACTTAGACTCATTACCTAAGAATACTCTGCCTAACACAAAACACTCTATTTTAGGGGAACTCTGCATATATCCAGTATTTTGTACACTCTCCCTTTTCGTTCTTGCAAAATCCTACTCAAGCTCCGATTCCTTCCTGAAGCTTCCCGGGTCCCTCCAAGTACTTAAGGGGCTCTGGCTCCTTTATCCCCTGCGCCCGAGCTTAATAAATTGTATCTTAATATTTTTATCTGTACAACTAACTGCCGTAAATGTTAACACCCCTCTTTTCCTGGTACGTAACAGCACTCCTCAATACACGGCCAACTACCCTGATTCCTAGAGAGAATGACTTCTTTTAACTCTCACCTCACGATGCTTACCACGTATTTAGCACCTGAGCGTCTTTCATTATCGCGGCTGACTATCGCTGTCCCGGGCCCCTCCTGGTCCACTCCTCAGACCGTAACCTTCTAGCGGCTGGGAGGGCGGTCCTACCTTTCTGACTGCCCCACCAGCACTTGGAGGCGCTGCGCGTTGCAAATGCAGCCGTAAAGCATTTCCGGGAAGCTCCTGAAGGGACAGAGCCCTGTAGAGATGTCCCTGCGGCGTATCCGCCCGCCCTTCCTTGAGTCACTGCTCCGCCTTCTCCCCGCCTGCTCAAGTCCAGCCCCGGGCTCCGTGGCAGGCACACGTGAGCGGTGAGGGGAAGAGTGGGCCTGGCCTCTCCCTGCCTTGTCCCGGGGTCCCAGGGGCCGCCGGAGGATCGCGAGACCGACGCCCGACGCCCGCGCAGGCGCAATAATGCTCTCGGAGCATGTGACCCCCAGCGCAAGGCCGCAGTGGCCGGCACAGGGGCGGTACCCACGCGGCTCTCCTGCGCGCTTTGAACCCGGTGCTGATAGACAGTCAAAGGATTGGCTAAGACGCAGCGTGCTTAGAAACAGCCATCCTGCGGAGGATGCGTAAGAAAATAATAGACCTGGGAGAGGGAAGTGTTAGGTGTCTTTTGGGAGCTGCCGGATTTCAGCTTGTTTCTAGTGGGTCAGGACGGTAGTCCGTGCCTCCTCCTCCGCCGTAGCTGGGGCCAGGGAAGTCCCGCTTTTTGGAGACTTGTCCTGGCGACAGAATCACAGAGGACTTGTCCTCACGAGTCTTCATTTCGATTCTTTCGGCTCCGGTTTCTTGGGCAGCCTCTAAGGGCTGAAGGGTCTTGGCACCCTGTGGTCCAACCCCCTCCCCTCAGGCATGGACGCGATACTCTCCAAACTGGACTTCCAGGTTCCTACTTGTCTGTCTACAGACAGGCAGGTTGGAAAACGCAAATCTGAACACCACCTCTGCTTGAGGCTGCCATTGTCTTCGTGGGAAGAGGCACCAGAATCCACTTTATTAAGCCCTTGCGGATGAGGCATTCGTAGGGACCTCCTGCTTACCATTCCAGCTACATCTCCAAAGGAGACCACCACAGCCTTAGGCCCTCTCAGCCTTTGTGTTTCTCTGCCAGAACCATCCTGCCTGGGTTGTACCTACCCGTTGCACCTTTTGTTTCTCCTGGAGGAGCTCTTACCTCAACCCCACAGAAGCTTTCCCAGTGTACTCATGTTGCCCTCAAACCTACTCCCACTTCCGACCGCCTTATCTGGCACCAGGAGAATATTGGCAATCTGGCAGCCCCATGCAATGCAACACCACTTATCACACCTGCTATGCTCCTGGGATATGAGCAGCTTGACAGAAGGGGTGCATGCTTTCTGGATGTGTATCCCCTGGTCTAGCATATAGCACACTGTAAGTGTTCAGTAAATGGATAGTTAGGAATCAAGGTGTGGACTCCAAGGATCAAAAGTGAAAATTTAAAAATGTCAGGGTAGGGAGTGCCTGGGTGGCTCAGTCAGTTAAGTGTGGGGCTCTTTTTTTCAGCTAAGGTCATGATCTTAGGGTTGTGAGATACAGCCCATCAGGCTCTGTCTTCAGAGCAGAGCCTGCTTAAGATTCTTTCTCTCCCACCCCTCCCCCCAAAAAAGTAAAACTAAATTAAAATTAAAATATTAGGCTGGGCTGTGGTATTTTGGGGCTTACCAAAGACACGAAACCATATATATATATGGTGTATATATATATATATATATGTATATATATATGGTATATATATATGGTATATACACCATATATATATATGGTTTCGTGTCTTTGGTATATATACATATAATTTTTTGCCTTTCAATGATAGCTAGCTAACAAGGTGACACTCCTTTTCAAATATATGAATAAATTCAAGATGACAAATAATGAAGTTAAGACATTTAGTTATGGTACCATCATAGCCTGTGGAATAGTTCTGCTGAGTCACAAGGGGCAGGGCAGTGGGCCTCAGAGGCCAGTCCCTGAAGAAAATCCAAGCAGGCTTAGGAGGGTGTATTTGTATGTGAGATGCTAAAGACAATGAGGATGCCAAATCCAAGAGGTGTTTACTGTAATGAGTGCTCAAGGAGGGTGGGGTTCCCCCAATCTGATCCTCCAAGGCTCTGGGGTGACTCACTCTTCCTTGGGCTCTGGGGTGGGGCTGATACTTCTTCTCCGAGTTGGCCCTGCTTGCCCTGGCCCTTGTCATCCCCACTGTCTCCAGCCACTAGAGCCACATTCCTCAGATAGTAAGTGTTGAAGCAGTTGGTCTGTTCATCTCCAGGATTCAGGTTACAGCAGAGGGCAGAGTCTCGCCAGAAATTATGTCGGGGACCACACAGATCCTCAATGAAGGCCAACTTCTGAAGGAGAAAAGTAAAGCAGAGATGATGGGGAGAGGAGTGTTTAAGGTCAAGCATCGATACTTGGTTGTTCAAAGTCCCCTTCCCTCCGCTTCTACTGCTGTCTCCCTAGGTCCCCTACTGGGGCCCAGAGAAAGTTCAAGCCTGGCTTCCACAGTTAGATTTTTTGTAACAGACATGTGCCCATATGGAAATGCCTGAAGCCTGAGGCCCAGAAAAGACATAATAAGAACTCAGAAGTGGGGAGCAGATCAGGTAAGGAATGAAGACTTTGGGAATCAAGAAAAAAGATCTTCCCCACTCATCCTCTTTATTTCTGTGGTCAGGTCTGAGATACTAAAGAGAAGGGATAGCCAGCAGTTCTAGCTCTCTCTCCCCCCTCCCCTGCTTTTCTTGGGAGACTATGACCTCCTGCTGCCCCCACTTACCTCCTCCTCAGCACAGCAGGCCTGCTCTGGAAACGGCAGGTCACAGCAGTGGGCAGTCATGTTCCGGATCAGCCCAGGAATTTGTTTACTATGTTGGTGGGAAAGGGGAGAGGGTCAGGGTCTTTAGGCATCCCTAGGCTTCAAAATGGTGCTCAGAGACCATGGTTTTGTTCTTATCAATAGTGCCCCACAGGGTACCCCAGGAGGGAGGTTTTGGGGAAGGGAAGAGAGTTGAGGAAGGACTTGCAAGACTCACTGCTTGCTGAGAACTCTTCCATTTCCGCAGAGATGGCCCATGAGGTTGGGGGTAACTCGGCTGAGGTCTAGGGTCAAGATGTCCCGGTCATAGTTGGGGTAGGGAGCCCGATGGGCAAAGCACTCATCACGGGCAGGGCTAGGAGGGTAGTGGCAACACAAGTGGTGGTGGGTCTTGACAGACTGTTCCTGATCACAGTATCCATCAAGGGCATCCTCCCACTGTGGGCCAGAGAGAGGGAAGTCAGAAGCCTGGACACTTGGCCCCTTCTCTTCTGACCCTCTGCTTCCCTTACTGCCCTATGTTATGAGATGAGGGACCCGGCCACAGGTGCCAAAAGGGAAGGGTAAGGAACCAGAGGACAAGGACTGATAAGTGTGGATGTATAATGCTGGGAAGGTGGAAGGATGGAAGCACAAATGAGGCTTGGAGCTGGCCACAGGACATAGGCTGGAGTAGACGAAGGGGTCAGATAAGGCCAGAGCTGCAAGGATGGATGGCACATGGGTGCATGTGTGGGATCATGGGTAGACCAGGCCAGAAGTGCAGGATGAAGGCTCAAGATGAACAGATGCAAATGACGAATACAATGGATCGATGGACACTTGCAAGCAGATGAACGGGCAGACGTGCTCACATTGGGGAGGTGCATGGATGAACGGATCAGCAGGACCAGAGGTCGGAGATGGGCGGGCGGGCAGACAGGCTCTTGGGACCGGGACGCCCACTTACGGCCTTCCATGTACAGGTGTGGTTGTTCCCCTGCCGGCAGCAGCGCTGGAACTCCCCCTCTAGCCAGGTCAATGCCTGCAGCTGTCTTTGGATGGGGTCAGTAGCTGGGAGGTTGCGTGGCACAGAACGGAAGCGTCTTAGGTGGCAGATGTTCTTGACATTGTCCAGTGTGGGTACCCCAGGGGGGAAAGGCAGCTCGGGGCCCGAGGAGATACCAGGCTGGTGGCTGGGGCAGGCCCGGAGCTGGTAGTGTGGCCGGGGAGCTTCCTCCTGGAAGCAGGAGAATCGAGCCTCCCCCTGCTGTTTGCAGCACCAGTGGGGTCGGGTCTTGACCGAGAACTCGGCCTCACAGAATCGGGTCATTGCGTCCTCCCACTAGAGCAAGAGGGATGGATCAGCCCAGCAGCCCATTGTCCACATTCCTGTCTTCCTCCCAGGCTCCAGAAAAGGACCCTGGGCAGGTAGATAAGAAAGAAGCAGAGGCTGTCTTCTGCCCTCCCAGCACACTGCGGAGGCACAAGGTAGGGCCAAGAAAAAGGTCCTGAGTTTCCTACATACCCAGGCCTAGAAGTTCTTCAAACATACACATACTGCCTGGAGGTTAAAGGACACCCCTGGCATCAAGAGCCCAAAGCTTACCACGAGTTTTGCACAGTCCAAGCGGTTTGTGTGGTTGTGACAGCGGCAGCAGCGGGAATATCCAGTCTCCAGCAAATTGAGGGTCTCACCCTGGCGTGTAAGGTGGGAGAAGCCAGACTGTGGCAGGTTCCAAGGGCCATACACCACATGCTGACGATTAGGAAGGCAGATCTGGTCCAAATTGTCTGGAGAAGGCCGCCCAGGGGGGAAGCCATCCAGCCGGTGGCCCCAGCCCCCTCGGGATCGGCCCTGCTGGCAGTGCAGGGCTGGATTCCAAGACTCAGGCTCAGGGGGCCTACGATCCATGAAAGGAGCTGGCTTTTCTAGAATGGAGAAAACAGAGTGTAAAGGGGAATGAGTGGAGGGACACAGAAAGTCTGGATGAGCTGAGAGGACTGAAAAAACTTGGGGTTAAGGAGAAAAGGTTGGGAGGATAGGGGATAGAAATGAACTTGTGGTTTTTGCCTTCAGAATGACTGATGGAAAGGAAAGAAAACCGGGGCATGAAAGGATTCCCCTTTATAGCCCCACAAACCAGGCCTGTTCCCTGTGCTGCTTCCCACGGCTCAGGCTCCCTGCCTCCGTCCCCAGTGTCCTGAGCACTAAAGCAGAGGAATGGACAGACCAGAGCTGTCACTCACCCTCTCTCTGCTTAGATGGGAAGGTCATTTCCTCCTGATGTAGGAAAGATGGTTCTACTGGGATAGAAGGAGATGTGTAAGCAGAAACCATGGGATGGGCTAGAAGAGGGGGACCTGGCCAAATGCCACTCATAAAGAGGAAGTCAGTACAGAAGCAAGTGAAAATAAATGCTACTTTTATGCCATTTAATCTCATAACTTTATAAAACAGGTCTTATTTCCCCATTTTTATAGATGAGGAAACTAAGGCTTAGAGGGACAACTCACCCGAAGTTACATAGCTAGCGAGTGGCAGAGCCCCAAAGCCCACGCTCATCAGGCAGGAGGGTGATGAGGAGAGGGAGTCACTTACTTTCCTTCTGCTCAACAGGGTTCTGGGGAGGGGGCAGCTCCTCTTGGAGGGGGATGGCTTCCTGAGGGAAATGGGGGTCCACTACAAGACAGGAGTGAGGGCACAAAGAAGCAAAGATCAGACTGACGTCAGCAAGATTGTAGTGGGCTGGTGGTGAGGAAATGGGCGATCGCTCACCTTTGTTTTCCACAGGGAGTTGGGGAGGAGGCAACTCCTCCTCTTGGACAGGGATGGCTTCCAGAGAGCGAGGGGGCTGCACTACAGAAGGGAGGGGGGTATGTGAGCAGACCACCCGTGCTCCCAGCCAGGGCAAGAAATGGCCAGGGCCTTCCCACTCCATCCCATGTGAGGAATGGGAAGTAAATAAAGCCAGACTAGAAACCTGGAGGGGCAACAGAAGGGTGCATGGTGGACTTACCTTCACCCTGTCCCTCAAAGTCAGAGCCATGCTGATGGGTGTCAGGGTGGTCCATGGGGAGGGCTTGGGTCCCGGGTGGGGAGGGGGGTGCTGCATAGCCAACTAGAGGTTAAGAGGGGAGATGGTCAGAGCTGACAGTTTCTCCTAGCCCCCCATTTCTTGCTGCTCCCCCAAACTCCTACCTTCTTGAATGTGGTAGGTGAGGGGCTCTGGGCCCACCTCCCTCTGCCCTGGAGACTTGGAGCCTGGCAGATGAAAGGTGAGTCAGAGGTGGCTTGAGGAGTCCATTCTTGTTCCCAAGCATAGAATGTGGGGGCAGTAGATGTCAAGAGCATAGGCAAGATGAGCAAGATGCCAGAAGCCCCTCTGTATTGCTCCTGTCCCGTTCCCTAATGAATACCCCCCCCCAGTCTAAACCCACCTAGGTGTGCCAGTTGGGTTCTGAGAAAGCCATGCTATTCTGTCAGCCTCACCTCCACCAGGCTCAAAGCCTTGGGACTTGAGTCCAGGCCTGAAGGGAATGTGACAGATGGGACTGGGAGCACTGGGGAGTGAGATGGTGGAGGCCCTAATCTCCTGTCAGTGTCTCTCCCTCAGGGCTTCTGGGCTCTTCCTTTCAGTCTCTCAGCCAGGATGCCTCTCTAGTTTCCAGAGGAGCAAGTCTGGACATTGAACTGGTTGGGGCTTCAGCTGCTCACCAACTCTAGGCCATTTAAATATCTGCGGGCCTTCTGAGAAACCCACCTCAAACTTTAAGTGCCTCCCCTTTAGCTGGTCCCAGATCCTCCTCAGCTTAGGTCTCAATTTAGGACCCAGGGACTGGGATGATTTAGGATTCCTGAGGCAAATTGCCCCACAGCCACAGGGAAAAGTTTCGCCTGGAGCTGATCTGCAATCACAGAAGACGAGCACCTAGGCGGGACAATGACATAGGCCTTAGGGAGACCAGATCTCAACAGTTGTTTCCCTTGGTAGCATTTTGTCCAGCATCCAGCAGATGTGTATGTGCTAGATAGAGTCACTGGGCCTGGTCCCCTGTGGATGGACATCCTCTCAACTCCTCCTAACCGGGAGAGGAGTTGGTCAAGGCTCTTTGGGTCAGCAATTCATTTTTTTTTTTTTAAAGATTTTATTTATTTATTTATTTGACAGGCAGAGATCACAAGCAGGCAGAGGCAGGCAGAGAGAGAGAGGGAAGCAGGCTCCCTGCTGAGTAGAGAACCTGATGCGGGACTCGATCCCAGGACCCTGAGATCATGACCCGAGCCGAAGGCAGCGGCTTAACCCACTGAGCCACCCAGGTGCCCAGTAATTCAGTTTTGACCAGCCTGGAGGCCCCATTCTTTCTCTCTCCCCTGCTGGATAGGCCCCATATATATATTTTCCTGAGGCAGGAACCCCTCATTCTGGGAATCCACCCATCCTCTGAAGAGTTGTCCATTTGACTCCCAATTTCCTGTCTCCTGGCAGCAATCTCTAGGAACCCCTCTCCTGTGCACCTGCTCCCCCTCCCAGTTTAAAAGCTCCAGTGCCCAGCCCCCCCTTGGATCTGCTCAGAAATGCAAGGCCAAGTATGCAATCACCCTACTGGCAATGAGCCATGTAGAGGATGGCTGGCCCCCAGCCCCGGGCCCACACTGGTCAGGGCCTCTGCCCAAGCGCTGGCTCCAACCCCAACTCACCTCCCTCAGAGGCTACAGAAGTAACAGCCAGACAGGCCAAGACCAAGGCTGCTCTGGACATGGTCCCCATCCTGGGGCAAAGACTTGTCGGTGGCACCCAGCAGGTGGGTCGTCCTAGGCAGATCTGGGTTTGAAGGGCTGGGCTGCTGGGAGCCTGCTTCTCCGGCTGTTGTGAACCTCAGGGCTGGTTCCTTCTCCTTTTATATGGCTATCTGGGGATAACTCCCTCCCTCCTATTTCCTGCCATGACTCAGTCCCAGCTGCTCCTCCTCTGGTGGCCACTCCTCCCAAATTCACCCTGAGGTCTCCTAAGAGGACTGAGGAGAACAAGGCTGAGAAGAGGAAAGCGTTCTTATGATTCCCAGAGAAATGGATTCTGAGATTCATCGAGTAAGAGATGTTGAGACCTGAGGCACCTGGTGGCTCAGTCAGTTAAGCACCTGCCTTTGGCTCAGGTCATGATCTCCTGGGTCCTGGGACAGAGCCCCATGTTGGGCTCCTTGCTCAGTGGGGAGCCTGCTTCTCCCTCTGACCCTCCTGCCCACTTGTGCTCTCTCTCAAATAAATAGAATCTTAAAAAAAAGAGAGAGATGTTGAGACCTTATTTTATGCCTCGGTTCCCTGTCTTCATGCTGCCTACTGTGGAGCAGTACAGCCTGCTGAATTGGGGTTGGGAAAACAGGGAACTAAAGAGTCCAGGGTGGGGGACAGGACAGCTACCCCAGGAGCTCCCCTACCAGTGAGAGGCCAGGGCTGCCCCCTTTCTGTTTCCCCAGTGCCCTGGGACAAATGAGACGGAGACAGAGTCCAATTCCCTTTTATTCCCCGCTCAGGAGTCAGAGATGAAGATGAAGACACATACCCAAGAGCTTCAAGTTTATTCTTTATACTTTCATGCTCCTCACATCCAAACAGCTGCAGCTTCCCCCAGATCAAATATCTTTCCAGGAAAGCAAACTTGTGCCTCCACATGAATTCTGATTGGTCTGGGGGCCTCCAGACTCTGGCAGTTAGGTCAAGGTCTCCCACGTGAAGGGAAGCCAGCAGCTCCTGCCACATCTGTACACAAAAGCTCAGAACACTGCCTCAGCATCTGCGACCCTGGTGTTCTGGAGCTCCAGCAGCCGCTGCACAGCCTCAGTCAAGTCCCGCTCCCCGAGTCGGCGGTTATCTCGAGTCCGAATGTTCACTGCTCTCTCACTCTGCTCTTTCTGGCCAACCACTGCAGGAAGAGGGGAGGTTTGTGACTGTCAGGGCACATTTACCCACACGGGATAGGCAAAAATTCAAGACACCCCAATCTTTAGAAAGGGTGAGAGCACAGCCCAGATATAGTTCAGGAAAAGGGTATATTTAGCTGCCTCTTGCTCTCCAGTTCCCCTGATCATCCTGACGAGATAAGGAAATGTTCCAGACATGCCCTCCATGCCTTATCACTTCCAGTCAGGAGCCTAGGGGTTGGAGATAGTGGGGTCAGCCAGAGAGAGACAAATAGAGCAAGAAGCAGACCCAGAGAGAAACTGTGTGTGTGTGTGGGGGGGGGCATTAAAGACAGGGGAGGGTGACAGGAGTACAAGACTCATAGGCAAGCTCAGGGGGTCATGGGGCAACTTGCTCTAAGTGCCACTGGGCGAGTAGGTGTATAAAACAAGAAAACTGAATGATCTGATAAGAGGAGTTTCTGCTCCTTGTCTTCAAGACAGAGCTCCGACTGGAGAAATGAAAAAAGGAACAAGGTGGCCTGACTCTTCTTAAGTTCTTTCTCATCATCCCTTAGGGCTGACTTCATCTGGGTCTAGAATAAACAAAGCTAACTAATTAACACCTTATTAGTCCTTCCTGTCCCTTTCTCTCTAATGCTCCTTTGGTTGATTAGCCTAACAGACACCAACAGCTTGGAGGAGGGTCAGAAGAAAACTGTTTTCCTGAAACCATAAAATTCCTAGAAGAAAACATAGGTGATAATATCTTGGACAATGGCTTTAGCAACGTTATTCTGGATGTCTTCCCAGGCAGGGGAAACAAAAGCAAAAATAAATTATTGGGACCACATCAAACTAAAAAGCTCTTGCACAGCAAAGGAACTGTCAACACACTGAAAGGGCATCCTACTGAATGGAAGAAGATATTCACAAACACTGTATCTGGTAAGGAGTTAATATACAGAACATATAAAGAACTCATACAATTCAACACCAAAAAACAAAACAAAACAAAAAACCAAAAAACTGGGGCGCCTGGGTGGCTCAGTGGGTTAAGCCTCTGCCTTCGGCTCAGGTCATGATCTCGGGGTCCTGGGATCGAGCCCCGCATTGGGCTTTCCGCTCACTGGGGAGTCTGCTTCCTCCTCTCTCTCTCTGTGTGCTTCTCTGCCTACGTGTGATCTCTGTCAAATAAATAAAATCTTAAAAAAACAAAAAAACACCAAAAAACCACCAAACAGTCATACTTGAAACTAGGTAAAAGGCCTAAATAGACATTTCCCCAAAGATGACATAGAGATGGCCACCAGGCACATAAAAAGATGCTTAACAACACTAATCGTCAGGGAAATGCAAAACAAAACCACAATGAGATATCATCTCACACCAGTCAGAATGGCTAGTATCAAGGAGACAAGAAATAACAAGTTTTGGCAGGGACGGGGAGAAAAAGGGACCTTTGCTCACTGTTGGTGGGAAGGCAAGCTGGTGCAGCCACTGTAGAAAACAGTATGGAGGTTCCTCAAAAAATTAAAAAAAAGAAATACCGGGTGCCTGGGTGGCTCAGTGGGTTAGGCCTCTGCCTTTGGCTCGGGTCATGATCTCAGGATCCTGGGATCGAGTCCCGCATTGGGCTCTCTGGTCAGCAGGGAGCCTGCTTCCTTCTCTCTCTCTCTGCCTGCCTCTCTGCCTATTTGTGATCGATCTGTCAAATAAATAAAATCTTTAAAATAAATAAATAAATAAATAAAAATAGAAAAAGAAATACCATAAGATATTTAGTATTGGTACTAGGTCTTACTAGTACCAATACAGCATGGTATTTACCACCTCCCTGACTCCTGGCTAAAAGAAAACACTAATTCAAAAAAATGTATGTACCCCTACGTTTACTGTAGCATTATTAGCAATAGCCAATATATGGAAGCAACCAAAGTGTCCATTAACAGATACACAGATAAAGATGTGGGGGGGTAAACACACACATATACACAAAACAGAATATTATTCAGCCAAAAAAAAAAAAAAAAAAAAAAAAAAAAAAAAAGGAGGGGTGAGATTGTGGTGACAAAATAGATGGACCCAAAGGATACTATGCTAAGTGAAGTTAGAGAAAGACAAAAACCATATGATTTCACTTTTTTTTTTTTTTTAAAGATTTTATTTAGTTATTTGACAGACAGAGATCACAAGTAGGCAGAGAGGCAGGCAGAGAGAGAGAGGGGGAGAAGCAGGCTTCCTGCTGAGCAGAAAGCCCGATGCGGGGCTCGATCCCAGGACCCTGGGATCATGACCTGAGCCGAAGGCAGAGGCTTCAACCCACTGAGCCACCCAGGCACCCCTCACTTTTTTTTTTTTTTAAAGTAAGTTTTACACCCAACTTGGGGCTTGAACTCACAACCCTGAGATCAAGAGTCACATGTTCTACCAAATGAGCCAGCCAGGTGCCCCATATGTCATTATCACTATGTCATTATTGTAATAACATTGTATGGTGACAGATGGTAGCTACATTTATTGTGACAAGCACTGAGTAATGTACAGAAGTGTCCAATCACTATGCTGTACACCTGAAATTAATGTAACATTGTGTCTACTATTAATGTAATATTGTGTCAAATATACATCAATTAAAATTTTTTTCATTTAATTTAAAAAATAAAGAAATTAATGTTAGAGTTACTATGCATATAATTAGAAATAAATGGTAAAACATACAAAAATTATAAGGATAAAATTGAGTCCAAAAAGAAAGTGTATTTGCATCAAAATACAGTGAGCCTTGGGCAACATCCCCAGAGCCAATGTGGTTCAAACTGTCCCACTCAGTCTCAAGGAGAACTTTAGTGGAGATGTCTGAAAATATGGGCCCATCAGGTAAAATTCAAACACTGGCTGGCTACACACAAAACCAGCCCTAGTCTTGAAGGTACTCACTTTCCACTATACGTTGTAATAATCTAAATCTCACCAAATGTTTTCACAAATGTCTATGATTTTGTACTTTTTTTGTTCTGTTGAGAATATTATTTTGTAGTAGGTGTTGGTCTGCCTTCAGCTCAGGTCAGATTCCAGGGTCCTGGGATTGAGCCCTGCGGCAGGCTCCCTGCTCAGTGGAGAGCCTGTTTCTCCTCTCCCTCTGCCTGCTGCTCTACCCACTTGTGCTCTCTATCTCACTGTCAAATAAATAAATAAAATATTTTTAAAAAGAGAAAAAGAAGAAAAAGGAAATTATTCTGAGAGTGAGAACTGGTTGTCAGGGGGTGAAGGAACCCAGGGCCCAAATGGCTCAGGTGTCCTGAATCCAGCTCAGGTAATAAACCCCAATTAACCCAAATAAGCAGATAAGCAAATTTAATAGGAAAGAATAGCATGGGAGGCCAGCAGAGAGTGCAGGGCTCTGAGGGTCTGTGCTGCTGGTCACTCACCGAACTGAAAATTGTAGTGGGCGAGCTGAGCCCGGCGGACTCTCCGGCTGAGGGTCAGTCCTGAGTCAGCGTCCAGGTCACAGACCAGACCTGCAGCCTGCAGCCTCTGCTGTACCTGGGGCAGAGGGACAGAGGTTTGATGCCAGGGACTGAAGGCTAAGAAGCTAGAATAGTCTGATACCAATCTTCCCCATGCCCCAGATCTGTTCCTCCATCCTCTGCCCCAAAGGTCTCTGATTCTTGCGGACAACCCCTCTTTGTTCATCTTTGCACTGAGGCCGGTCCCCAGCTCCCCCGTAGTTTGTCTCCTTCCTACTGGAGCCAAGCCTGCCACCAATTCCCCAACTCTGCCTGCTCTAGCCACAGCACTACCCAACTAGCTACTTGACTTTGGTACTATCCACATCCTTACTTCTCTCTAGAAAGGAAATATGAAACCAACACTTCTCCAGGTCCCTTTTGTGCCAAGTGCTCTACTGTCAGCGTTTAACATTTGTTAATTTGTTAAATTTTCAGGCATCC